CCCTGCCCCCATACGCCCCTCCTCCCCCAGCCTCCCTTCCAACTTCCCGCTTCTTACCCCTTGAGGACCGTGGTAGTCACAACCCCAGCCCAGGAGCCCGAGGACAACGTTAGCCCTTATCCTGGGGAATGATGGACAGACTTTCGAGACAGCTAATCCTGGGGAGTCTGGCAATCGGTGACCCTTTCTGGAGACTTTTGGGGCAGTCTGAGAGCTACAGGACGAAGAACGAGACTTTTTTGGTGGGGGGGGGGATTCTCTCTGAGTGCGAAAAATGCCCTCTGCCGAAAAGGACGATAAGGCGAATATGGCCCCGGAATGACCACACAGAATGGCACCACAGTGCTTAATTATGTCCTCTGAGGACGGCTGAAATCGTGTGCCTCGTCAAATCTCTTGTCTTGCAATCAGAAGGCAATCAGCGATGGACACGCTCATAATTTTCGGTCTGCGTGCCAGTACCCGGCCAAGGGCTGAGGTCTAGGACTGAGGACCGCGACTCCGGGACATCATGGACTCGAGTATTGATCCTGAGGACGGGCGGGCGGGCCGCGGGCCTAGAGGCGGCCGGCCACGCTGCGCTCACTCCCTTCCGGCTACGGCCGGTCCTAGCAGCCCTACGGCAAGAGATGCGTTTCAAGGAATGTCGTTGAGTTGAATAGGCTCGGGTAGCCTTCGGTAATTTCCAAGTCGCTCCTCAGTTCAGAAATAACCCATTAGAAAGCCACGACAACAGAATTAAAGAAGTAATTTTGCGCGTTTGGGGCTGTAACGCTGTGAGCGCAGCTGGTTTGGCCGCCCGCCGCTGCGGCAGCACAAGCGAGTGGTGGGTGTCGAGCAATGCGCTCTACCGGAGAAAGAGGAAACTTTTAATTGACCCATCTCTGTATTTTCTCCTCTGACGTCCACTGAAAATCGCCCAAAGGAAGACGTTTCTAGTTGTCCAATTACCGTGGTGTTTGTAAACATTTGCTGGCGGTGTCCGTGTGCAGTGCTGAGTGTAAAGTGCAGGAAGATGCGGGGGGCTGCGTGCTGGCTGTAGTGGAGTGCGAGTGCTAGCGCCTAGGCCGTCTGCTGGGCTGGGCTGGGGCAGGCCTGCAGGCTAGGGCCAGGGCTAGGGCCACCTCCATTCCTCCACAACAGAACCTCCTGAGCGCTTGAGCTGCGCCAGCTGCTGCAGCTGCAGCTGCGGAGCCCTGGAAGGAGCCAAGGGCAAGACCATGGGCAATGCGGCCACCGCCAACAAGAAGGGCGACTCCGCGGAGAGCGTCAAGGAGTTCCTGGACCAGGCCAAGGAGGAGTTCGAGGACAAGTGGAAGAAGAACCCGACCAACACGGCCAGCTTGGATGACTTCGAGCGCATTAAAACTCTGGGGACGGGGTCCTTCGGCCGAGTCATGATTGTGCAGCACAAGCCAACCAAAGAGTATTATGCAATGAAGATCCTAGATAAGCAAAAAGTAGTGAAACTGAAGCAGGTGGAGCATACCCTTAATGAGAAGCGCATTCTCCAAGCTATAAGCTTCCCTTTCCTTGTTAGCTTAAAGTTCCACTTCAAGGACAACACCAACCTGTACATGGTCCTGGAATATGTTCCAGGTGGAGAAATGTTTTCCCATCTTCGGAAGGTTGGGCGCTTTAGTGAGCCGCACTCACGTTTCTATGCTGCACAGATTGTTCTCGCCTTCGAATACTTGCACTATTTAGACCTCATATACCGAGATCTTAAGCCCGAAAACTTGCTCATTGACAGCCAGGGATACCTTAAGGTTACCGACTTTGGATTTGCCAAGAGAGTCAAGGGCAGGACCTGGACGCTTTGCGGTACACCTGAATATCTTGCACCTGAAATTATTCTCAGCAAAGGATACAACAAAGCTGTTGACTGGTGGGCTCTTGGAGTGTTGGTCTATGAAATGGCTGCAGGATACCCGCCTTTCTTTGCCGATCAACCTATTCAAATTTATGAGAAGATTGTGTCTGGCAAGGTGCGCTTCCCATCTCATTTTGGGTCCGACTTGAAGGATCTTCTCCGCAATCTCTTGCAGGTAAAGTTACATTTTGTTTAATGACATTCTCAACAACATTTTCCCTCTTCAAAACATTTGAATATTCTTCATATTTTAACCTGTTTGGCTGTCTATTTATCTTGCTAAATAACAGT